CCCGCGGGTGCCGCGCCCCCCCTCGAGGAGGCCTTGCGGACGCCGCGGGGCGGCGACGCCGGTGCGCCTGAACCCGGCGCCCTGGGAGAGCCCCGCGGGAAGCGCAGCTGCGGGTGGACGCCGCCCCGCGGGCCGGCCGGAGGGCCGGCGCAGCGGAAACCCGGGGTCGGCGGGCAGCGCGAGGCGCGGCCGCAGCCGCGAGAGGCGCCGGCCCGACGAGCCACCGACGCCTGCGCCAAAGGCCCGGCCCCGGCCGCCGCCGCGGCTGCCGCTGCCGCCCCCGCTGGGGCCGCCGCCCGCTCCCCTAACCAGCGCTGGAGCGCAGCGCGGCGGACGCCCCTGGGGCTGCGCCGCGGCAGGGTCCAGCCGTGCGCCCGCGGCACGCGCGCGCCCCCGCGCGGGGCCAGGGGCAGGGCGGCCCCGGACTGGCGCCGCGCGCAGCTCTCCCCCGAGCGCTCCCCGACCCCGACGCCAGCCCCGCCGAGGGCGGTGGGGCGAGCCGGCGACTGCGACTGCGACGCGGCCAGCCCAGCGAGCTACTACTCCGACTCCGATTCTTCGGAGGGGGCAGCCGCCAGGCCCGCCGCGTGGGCCGCGCTGGAGGCTCCCGGGCAGGCGCGGAAGGCGGCTGCAGCGAGGCCTGCGGCAGCGGCGGAGCCCGCAGCTCTTGCCCCGGGAGCTCAGGAGGCGGCGGGCGAAGCACCCCAGGGCGCCCCCGCGGCGACGGCGGCGGCGACGGGCGCAAGCACGGCAGCGGGTCTCCACGAGATCCTGCGGCGGGCGGGCGTGGCCTGCTCGGTCGAGCTGCTCGGGGGCGGCGCCTTCTTGGTCTGGTGGGGGGCTGGGCGGGCGCCTCAGCGCGACGCGGGCCGGCGGGGCGGAAGCTGGCTCGCGCGCAGCGCCAGACTGCTGGCGCCTGGACTCGCGAGCGCACTCGCCTAGCCCCAGCGAGCGCGACTTCCGCAAGTCGTGCGACGCGCTGGGGAGCGCCCGGGAGAGAACGCTGCGCTCCCTGGAGGCCCGCTGGGCCGACGAGCGCGAAGGCGCCGGCGACGGCCCCGTGGCGAGCGCCCCCGAGAGGGCGGCCCGCGGCGCCAGCGGCGGGCCTTGCCCCGCCCGTGCGCGCGGCCAGGCTGGCCACGGCGCGGCGCGCGCGCCCGCGGTGAGCGCCCCCCGAGGGGGCGCCACGCCGCGGCCCAGAGCGGCGACGCGCGCGAGCTCCGCCCCGCCCGCGGCGGCCGCCCGCGCGACCGACGCCGGCGCGCCCGGAGGCGGGCTGGCGCGCGCGCCCGTGGCGAGCGCCCGGGGGGCGGCCCGCGACGTTGCCCGCGGCGCTGGCTGGGCGCCGGCGGCCGAGGCCTCGCGCCGCGTCCGGAAGCGCCTGGGCCAGGCGGCCGCTGGCGCCGCGGGCGGCCGCCGGGCTGCGGCGGCCGGCGCCGACGATGGCGCGGGGCGCCTGGCGCCTCGGCGCGGCGGCGGCCGCGGCCGGTGACGACGCCGCGGCGAGCCGCCCCCCGCTGAGCGCCGACGCGCCACCCGCGAGCGTTTCCCCGCAGGGGGAGGCGGCCTGGGGCGCGGCGCTTCCGAACGCAGCGGAGGCGCGGGAGCTGGCCTTCGAGTGGCTCGCCCAGGGCCGCTGGGCGGCGGCGCGGGCCCTCGCCCGCCCGCAGGGGGTCTCCACGCGGCGGGGCAAGCTGGGCGCGGTCCAGCAGCGGCTCGTGGTTGAGTTGGCGGGACTCGGCGACGCGGCACTGCGCCGCGTAGTGGTGCCGCGTCAGCTTAGCGCGGCCTAGGCTGGGCTGACTCGCTGGCACTGCGGCCGCGGCGGGGCGCGTCGCGCGGCCGCCCCCCGTCGGCATTGGGCTCCCAGAGGGCCCGGGCGTGCGCCTGGCGCGCGTTTCCCCTCCTCCCGCTTCCCCCCCTGCCCCCTCCCCGCGCCCTCGTTCGCGTCGTCCTGTCGTCGTCGTCGTCGTCGTCGTCGTCGTCGTCGTCGTCGTCGTCGTCGTCGTCGTCGTCGTCTCGCTTTCGCTTGCCACCGGGCTCCTCTCGTCTGGTAAAGCAGTGCCGATGACGACGGCGACGACGACGATGGCGACGACGATGCAGTTGGCAACGACGGTGGGGATGATGACGACGATGGTGCTGATTGTAGTAGGGTGATGACAGCGGTGGCAACGATGCCGCTGGCGATGTTGATAAAAAGGTGATGCCGATGACGATGGCGTGGACTTGCTCGCGCAGCAATCCAGGAAACGCGAGCGAGTTTCTCTTGATGCCGTATTTGGTTTGCAGGTGTTTTCGATCAGCGTTCCTATGCTGATTTGCTTCAGCTTTAATGAATTTCGACGTGCTCGTACGGAAACGCGCGCTTTGGGGCCGGTTGATTTTATAGAATGACGGGCGCGCGATGCAGGTGGAAACTTTCCGGCATGCGCGCATGTGTGTACCCGCGTTGTTTTTTCGGCTTCATGGTCCACATTTTTTGGTCCTCATGTTCCAGGAAGCATGCGCGTGAGAAAGCCTGACAACTCTTTGTTGGAACAGCTGACGTTGTTTATAACTGTTCAGTTTTATCCCCACCATCCTCTGGTGTTGGGTCCTCGTTTTGAAAAGAGCGCCCCGCGTGGCTTCTCTTCTCCTCTGACTCGTCTCCTCTGTTTTCTTCTCCTTTCCGCTCCGCTTCCTCTCCTCTCCTCTGCGCTCCTTTTTTTTTCTCCTCTCCTCTCCTCTCCTCCCCTCTCTGCTCCGCTCCGCTCCGCTCCGCTCCGCTCCTCTCCTCTCTTCTCTTCTCTTCTCTTCCTCTCCTCTCCTCTCCTCTCCTCTCCTTTCCTCTCTTCTCTTCTACTATCCTCTCCTCTCCTCTCCTCTCCTCTCCTCTCCTCTCCTCTCCTCTCCTCCTCCTCTTCCTCTCCTCTCCTCTCTTTTCCTCTCCTCTCCTCTCCTTCTCTTCCTCTCCTCTCTCTCCTCTCCTCTCTCCCTCCTCTCTTCCTCCTCTCCTCTCCTCTCCTCTCCTCTCCGCTCCTCTCTTCTTCTCTCCTCTCCCTATGCTCCGTTCCGCTCCGCCCTCCGCTCCGTTCGCTCCTGCCCCCGCTCCCTTCGCTCCGCTCCGCTTCCTCTCCTCTCCTCCTCTCTTCTCCCCTCCCTCCCCTCCTCTCCTCTCCTCTCCTCTCTCTCTCCTCTCCTCTCCTCTCCTCTCCTTCTCCTCTCCTCTCCTCTCCTCTCCTCTCCTCCCTCTCCTCTCCTCTCCTCCCCTCCTCTCCTCTCCTCTCCCTCTCCTCTCCTCTCCTCTCCCTCCTCCCTCTCCTCTCTCCCTCCATCCTCTCCTCTCCTCTCCTCTCCTCTCCTCTCCTCTCCTCTCTCTCTCTCCTCTCCTCTCCTCTCCTCTCCTCTCCTCTCCCTCCTCCTCTCCTCTCCTCTCCTCTCCTCTCCTCTCTCTCCTCTCCTCTCCTCTCCTCTCCTCTCCTCTCCTCCTCCTCTCCTCTCCTCTCCTCTCCCTCTCCTCTCTCCTCCTCTCCTCTCCTCTCCTCTCCTCTCCTCTCCTCTCCCTCCTCTCCTCTCCTCTCCTCTCCTCTCCTCTCCTCTCCTCTCCTCTCCTCTCCTCTCCTCTCCTCTCCTCTCCTCTCCTCTGCTCCTCCCACACCTACGTCCTTACTCCTCCTATTCCTGCCGCTGCCTGCGGTGGGTGAAACAGATTGTGCGCTCCTCACATGTTTCGTGTCCCCATAGGGAGCTCCACAGAAGGCCCCAGTGGCAGGGTCCATGTCCATTTCGGCGTACCACTCCCACGTTTCGTGGCCCCATAAGGAGCTTCACCGACGGCGCCACTGGCAGGGTCCATTTCGGCTCCCCGCCCACCGCATGTCCATGGCGGCACACCGCTCACACGTTTCGTGGCCCCATGGGGAGCGCCACCGAAAGCCCCAGATGCAGGGTCAACATGTGGTTCCCCACCTATCGCATGTCCTTTTCGGCACACGTCTCACATGTTTGCTCCACTGAAAGCCCTGGTGGCAGGGTCAACATGCGGCTCCCTGCCCACCGCATGCTCATGTCGGCGCATCCCTCACACGTTGCGTGGCCCCATCGGGAGCCCCTTCGAAGGCGCCACTGGCAGGGTCCACATGTGGCTTCGCGCCCACAGCATGTCGATTTCGGCACACCTCTCACACACTCCGTGGCCCAATAGGGAGCTCCACCGATGCCCCAATGGCAGGGTCCGCATGCTGCTTCCCCCCCACCGCATGTTGATCTCGGAACGCTCACACGTTTCGTGGCCCCATGGGGAGGGAGCTCAACCGAAGGCACGCCCTCCGCACGTTTTGTGGCCGCATGGGCTCGCGGGGACTCCATGGTGCCCTGCCTCCAAGAGCTGCCCGACGCCCGCGCGCTCCGCCCGGCGCTTTGCCCGCTGTCAGCCGCCCGTGTTTTTTTTTTTTTTTTTTTTTTTTTTTTTTTTTTTTTTTTTTTTTCTCTCCGTGCCGCGGGCAAGCCGCGCGCTTCGCCGGGACCCTGACTCCGCAGCGCGCGGTGCCCAGGGCCGCGGTCGACTACACATAAGAGTGACCTTTCGCCGAGTGACCTTTGGTGCGGGCACGGATGGGTACCCAGATGGCTGAAAACGAAGCAGTAGCAGCTGCTTGCGCACCCAGGTTTGGTCCCCCCGCGGCCCCCAAAAAGTCGCGCACCAAAGGTCACTCTTACCCAGGGTCACTCCTGCGTATAGCCGACGCGGTGACCGGGGCGCAAAGACAATTATCCCGGCAAAGCAACCTAACAGCGATGTGTAGGAGCATATCTGGAAGCATTCCCCTTGAGATTCAGCTGAGAATCCAGTTGTAGAATTCTGCTGTTCTCGCAGTCGTAGTCGCATTCGCGATGACAGTCGCAGTGGCAACGGCAGTCGCAGTCACAGCCTCAGCCTCAGCCTGCCTCAGCCTCAGCCTGCCTCAGCCTCAGCCTCAGCCTGCCTCAGTTCAGCATCGTCTGCCTTCAGCCTCGGC